AAAAAAAAAAAAAAAAAAAAAAGGTGGTAAAGCAAGAAAGGGATCAGACATGCCTCTCCCTGTCTCTTATATTGAACCCAGGCTATCTGCCCTAGGTAAGATAGCACTCACATCCTTACTCCTAACATTGCACCATAAATCATTCCCAGCATCACACACTCCAGATTCAGCCACCTCTGAAAAGCATGAGACTTTGGGGACATCCAAACACAAGCCATAATAGTGTCTTTGGGAAAGAACAGCACAGCAGTGATACAGCCTCCTCAGTGCTTGGCTTATTACCCAGAATGTCAGCTTGATTGCTTGGCTTAGGTGGTTTTGGCTAGGTGTCTTTATTGCCAAGTTACTCTTGTCCCTTTGTACTTGCTGAAGGTTTAAAGGCATCTACCTTGAAAACATACATATATCCTGTTTCTCCTGGGGCTTTCCACTTTAGTATCATCGGTGGAACTCATCTGCCGCACTTCGTTCTGTGACATTCTAAGGACCATTTTATTTCTTTCATTCTGTATATATATTTGTTTTTTGTAGGATCCTGGAAGAAAATGTTTCTTTGCTTTGTTTTTCATTAGCTCATTTACTTATTTATATCAGCATGGATTCATGTGTAATTTTTATTATTTAGCTTGTACTCCAGTGTTATCATTTTTTTCCCAGATAGTCCCTGCTTTGTCTCATGGAAGTTCATTTTGACTGGCTCCCTTGTCCTACCATCCAGCCAATGTCTTTTCTTCCTCTCTTCTTGATTATATTGACTCGTTCGAGGTCACTGAAATAGACCTCTTCTCTAAGGAACCTTAGCTTGTTTATTTGGAGAATGGTAGTTGGAAATAAAGGTCTGGGTACCCGGGGTCTTCACTGCTACAGGTGTGTCACTGCATCTGTCCCACCTCAGAAAACAGAGCTAGGAAAGACACGGATACATGCGGACCCACGCACGTGCACACTCTCCTCCCCCTTCTTTAAAAATAACAAGAATGTAGGGCCGGGGATTTAGCTCAGTGGTTCTGCCGCCTGCTTCGTAAGTTCAAGGACCTGAGTTCAATCCCCACTACCAATAAATAAATAAACAAACAAACAAATAAATAACAAGAATGTGCTGATTCCTCCTACTCTGATCCAGCATGACAGCATCTACTTTAACCTTTTCATTATGCTTATTTTCAGTATCTACGGTTGACAGTGAGAAATCTAATTCTCACTATCTGTAATATATTTATTGATTTATTCAGTGCATAAAATGTATAAAAAATTCTTTCACAATTGATAACCCACACCCTTGCAGGCAAGAAGTTTACCACCTAGAGCTAATCCATATGTGTAGTTCTCTTTTATCTGTGGCCTCACAGCACTGGCATCCCACCAATTTTGAGTTCCCTAGGTTGGCTCCCTTGGTCCTCACTCTTTTTGGTATGAATGTGTCACTGCTCTGTAATGCAGTTGGGTTCATTTGTCACAGTGTTCAGTCTAACCTCATTCATTTAAAAATCTGTACTTAAAATAATTCATCCTTTAGGATGCGCATTCCTGTGGGTTTTGGCAAAGGCAAGCATCATGTGTCAGCACCACAGAACCAAACATCGCAGCTCCATCACTCCCAACTCCTCTGAGCACTTTCCCTGTACTTTTCTTGTGCCCCCTCATATGACAGCCATTAATCTATATTTCATCTCTTCACGTTTCCTTACCCAAAATGTTACATACACAATCTGTACAATGGCTAGTCTTTTTTTTTTCCAGTTCTGAGGATCAGACCCAAGGCCTTGCATGCTAGGCAAGCATAGTACCACTGAGCTACATCCGCAGGCCTGATGTCTCTCCTTTTCGATCTAGCATCTTTCCCTTAGCAAAATGCAAGGAAGATTTCATCCGTGTTACACAAATCAATGATTCATTCTGTTGTTGCTGAGTAGCACTGCACTTGATGAAGGTACCACCTGTGGAAGGACATTTGGGTTGTTTCTGAGTTTAGGGTGATTATGAATAGAGTCACTATGAGCATTAGTGTAGAGATTTTGTGTCAATATGTTTTCATTTCACTTGGGTAATTTCCTAGCCATAGGACTTCTGGCTCACTTTTTTTTTTTTTTTTAGAAATTGTTAAACTGTTTTCCAAAATGACTCCACAACCAACATTGTCTGCGGTGCTTTTCAGAGCTTTTAAAGCAAAGTCACATCGCAACACCTCCTTGGGCACTTTGCATACTTCTGCGGTCCTGTATTCTGGGGACCCCAGTTGTTCAGAAATGGCCTACGACTAGGTTTCCTTTGGTTCATTCAGTTGGAAGGTGCCACCGAGGCAGATGAACTTTCAAAGGAAACAACATTCATACCTGGCACCAGCATAAGCTAGGAGATGGGCAGAGGCAAATTCAAACTTATCCTCCTTTTTCTTCATTTTCAAATGTAAATGATTTTTGAAGTACTGTTCTGAATGGTTCCTGGTACCTGGCAGCCTTGTCCTTAATGGGAAGTGTATCTGTACTGTCTGTCTTGTTATATAGTCTCTTTAATAACATTGGAACTTCTGCTGTCTAATTATGAACTCCACTGTGATTTTCTCCTCAGCTACAACCTTTCATGCCTTTACATATGAAAGTAGTATGGATGCGAGGAGATGTCAGGACCCAGTTGACATGGAGTTTGTAGTGGACTCCAGCTACCTAAGGGAATCTGAGGATACGATGCATTGGGGGGAACCCGTGGTGCAGGAAGCCCCGCTGGAGCCCATGGTGCACAAGGTCAAGATGGAGCCAGTGGTGCCAGAGGAGCTGATGGAACCGGTGGTGCAGGAGGACCGCCCCTCCTCTGGAGTGGCTACCAGACGCCGCACTCAGGTACTTCATAGTCTGGCCCCATATACTCATCTGGGCCGCTGGCCTTGCAAAGCCCCGAAATGCCCTTTGTGTGTCCAGTTTTCTTTGCAGAAAACCTGCTCTTTAGTTTAACAACTGTCACTATTCCTTATGGAATGGATTTTCACACGCAGCTGAGAACACAGGGGGCCCTTTGCACACAGGAAGGTCAGAGGTTCTGTAAGTGAGACCAAAGCCCTGTTCTCTTCTTCATGTGAACTACACGAGGACATCTGATGCCTCTGAAAAGGTCTGACCTGAATAGGAAGCCCAATTGCTGTGAAAAGGCAGGATTTTTAGAGCCCCGCTCCTCATCACTTATGAGGGGCTGGTAAGCACCTCAAGGGAAGACAGTCCCCTGCCTATCCATGCTGACCCCTCTGACATATACACACCACAAGGTGGGCTGGCCCAAGGGGTTTGTTCTAGGTCAGAACAGGGAGCAATTCATTGTTGGAGTTTGCAGGCTCCAAGGGTTAACATCAGTGCATGGCCCACATCCTATTTCTAACAGATGGGTAACTATTTTGCATCTCCTCTACATGGTCACACATTTGGACACTCATCTTCATGTCACATGGGACTGTTCAAACCAGGGCTGGCAGCCAAGGAAGGGAGTTCATGGCCAGTTACATGGAGTCCTGGCATGGATTACTCAGCCAGATGTGCGTCACTCCATCTCTAGTTGCCCAGAGCAACCTCATCTGTGTGTGTGTGTGTGTGTGTGTGTGTGTGTGTGTGTGTGTGTGTGTAATGCTGGGATTTGAGCTGCGTCTTGTGTGTGTGTGTGTGTGTGTGGGTGTGTGTGTGTGTGTGTGTGTGTAATGCTGGGATTTGAATCCAAGGATCCCCGAGCTGCATCTACAGCTCTTTTCATTTTTTCTAAATCTTTAGACAGGATCTTGCTAAGCGATTAAGGCTGACCTCAAACTTGTCATCAGCCTCTCAAATAGCTAAGAATGCAAGCATGTGCCACCATGCCCAGCAGTTTCTCCATCATGGAAAGATCTTCCTGCCATCCTGTGAAAGTTCCTTGAACTATTTAAAAGGATATTTCCATGGGAATCCATTCTGTCCTTATTTATGTCCTTATTGTACTCAGAAGTTTTGGTTCTCTTTTCACCACTCACAAGTTTTCTTCTCTTTTGGATCTATTTGTAATTAAACTTTCAGTGTCGCCTTTATTTAAAAATGCCAAAATAACCAGGCATGAATCATTTGCCTGTGTGTGCAGTGCCAGGTAATGGCCACCTGGAATGTACCCAGAAAGGACACCAGGCTGGGGAAGGGGATAGAACCACTGTGTGGTCAGTAGTTAAAGACACTAGAGAAGGGAAAAACTAAGAGGGACAGGGCAGTCTTATACAAATAGTTAAAGTGCAGGCATGCTCATGACTGAGAAGGCCAAACTAGGGCTGAGAACAGAAGCTGCAGAGCGGACCTCTTTCAGATGACTTTGAGTACGCCTCTTGGCAAGACTCGCCCTGCCCAGCTGGGTTAGGGCACCTCCAGCAAGATGAGCTTCTCTTCTTCCTGGAAGGCTTAGAGTCAAGACTTGGTAGCTCGTTTTCCAAGGGCAGCACAAATGCTTCCTTCCTGTAAAGTTGGTTTCTTCTAAAAGCTACAAGATCCCAATGATGAATATAACTGTACTGTATACCTAAAATGTAGCAATAAACTCAATGAGAAAAAAATATATAGGCATGTTAAATTACTAAATGAAAAAAAAGTTGGTTTCTTCTAGTCTTGAATTGAGACAGAGACAGAGACAGGTAGGGGAGAGGGAGAGGGGCTCTAATCAGTATGTGTTTTCTTATGGAAAGAGATGTATAGTATATAGCAAAAGACAGGGGCAGGCAAGTGGGAAAGTTTTCAAACTTTTTACCAGGGTATGTGTGCAATACATAACAATTACATTCATCACATAGAATTGGTCCATACACATTCTGTCTTATCCTTTTTACTTGCATTTCCCCTCTCCTCCCATCCCCAGATTCCCTTCGAATCTTCACAAAGTTTATCACCCTATTTCGTGTCTTCCATTTTTATTTTGCTCTGCTTTGTGTCCCTCACACAAGAGAAACCATGTGCTATTTAAGCTTCTGTTTCAGATTTATTTTACTCAGCATTAAAAGTGCATCCATTTTCGAACAGATCACTCAAAGTTACCTTTCTGGCAGAGCAGTGCTCTACTGTGTGTAAACACTGCATATTTTATCCATTCATTGGTTGATGGGCGTATAGGCTGCTTCCAATATGTAGCTATTATAATTTATGCTGCTACAAACATATGATTTTAATCCAAATAAATTCATATGGTTCTCCCCCTTCTCTCCCCTCCCCCTCCCTCCCTCTCCCTCTCATGCCCCCTTTGCTGTGTACTTACATTAATCATAAAGAGCTAAAATGCACTAAAGGACCACTGTGTGCTATCACAGTCTTCAATTTTGGTCTCAGAACACGCACATGTGTGTACCTTTTCCCCATCATTAGCACTGTAGGTTCTTTGTGGATCAGGTCTGTGGCTCTCTCTCTCATTTGTATACAGAGCATAGTTCAGGGAAATCAGAAGTTGTTTCCCGGCCCTGCACTTCCAGCCTTGTCATTTCTTTTCCAAGAATCCCGTCTCTTTCCTGCCTACCTCTGTCAGTAAGCTGTGAAGTCAGACCCACTTTCTTCATTTCTCAAATGTGTCCCTTCCTTTCCATGTCCTCTGCCTTGGGTCGTTTGAGGCCCCCACTCTCTGAGCCTTGAGTGACCCCCCCAGAGCCTTCTTGCTGGCTTTTTCTTGACCCCAGGCTTAGGAAGCAGCTAGAAGAGAGCACTCAGGAGCAGGCTGACCTCAGAAGCCAGCAAAATGCACCAGAAATGATAAAGGAGCAGCTTCTGATAATGTGGGAATCTAGCTTTCAGGAGAATGAGGAGGAGAGAGGGACCCTGGCACCTCTCAAGGAGTTAGGGTGGTCTAGTACTGCCTACAGCAAGTCCTTGCAGTTTTGCCATTTGGTTCCTGGCTGCAGGAGCTGAGATGCTCACCAGGCCTTGGCAGTGGCTAGAATGGCTCATATACCACCAGGCTTCCTAGGGACTTCCTTTAGGCAGTCCTGCTCCACCCTCAGGCTGGTGTCTTGGGGGGAGGGTCAGCAATAAGTCCTGTGTGATACTGTATCCTGACAGGTGCAGCCAGCTACATTGAGCCATGTGCTTAGCCGTCCTGACCTCTGGCCTATGAAGAAGACATCCAGGAAGCAATCCCCCGGGAAAGTGAAGCGTTCCCCCTCAGATGGCAGGGACACCAAACGCTTCTGCACTGCATCCCAACTTGGCATATTCCCTGAGAGGCTTGAGGACTTTTCTGACACCTTCATCCAGGTATGGGGGGCTGTTGGAGCTGGGTGACCAACTGGACATGTGACTTGTGTGAGGGCTTGGACTCACCTGAGGGGGCCCTGGCTGCCCAGCAGGCTGCAGTCTGTTTACTCGGGAGAGAGAGTGGTGAGTCCCATGTGATATACGTGTTCCTGTGCACCAAGGCATGAGCATGGTGGCAGTGAGTGCCCCCAAAGCAGCAAGGCAGCTGGTGCAGTCACCCAGAGGCAGGATGCCTGCTGCTTTCTGCTCTTGGAAAGTAGCACTGGAGTGAGTGGTGAATACCTTCCTGGGAGGCTTTTTGATATTTTGTCTTTGATGTCGTAGTACCTGCAGGAGCTGGAGCCACAGATACAGCAGCAGGAAGAGGAGCCAAAGATGACGCAGCAGGAAGAGCTGCAGGTACAGGAGCAGGAAGAGGAGCCAAAGATGACACAGCAGGAAGAGCTGCAGATACAGCAGCAGGAAGAGGAGCCAAAGATGATGCAGCAGGAAGAGCTGCAGGTACAGGAGCAGGAAGAGGAGCCAAAGATGACACAGCAGGAAGAGCTGCAGCTGCAGCAGCAGGAAGAGGAGCCAAAGATGACACAGCAGGAAGAGCTGCAGATACAGCAGCAGGAAGAGGAGCCAAAGATGGGGAAGCAGGAAGAGCTGCAGGTACAGCAGCAGGAAGAGGAGCCAAAGATGGGGAAGCAGGAAGAGCTGCAGATACAGCAGCAGGAAGAGGAGCCAAAGATGACACAGCAGGAAGAGCTGCAGCTGCAGCAGCAGGAGAAGCCAAAGATGGGGCAGCAGGAAGAGCTGCAGGTGCAGCAGCAGGAAGAGGAGCCAAAGATGGGGCAGCAGGAAGAGCTGCAGCTGCAGCAGCAGGAGAAGCCAAAGATGCCGCAGCGAGAGGAGCCACAGATGCTCCAGAAGCAGGTGCCTGAGGAAGAGCAGAGACAAGAGCAGCAGCTGCAGCAACAACAGGTACAAGAGCAGCTGCACCTGTTGGAATGGTGTCACTGCAGGAAGCCAGATGGTGCAAGCACATGTGCAGAGCCAGCCGGCACTCCTCTGCCTTTCCACAGTAAACTTGTTGTATCTGTGCAGGTCCAGTCCAGAGTTTCACCTCTTCAAATGAGAGCTGAGCAACAACCCTCTAGCAGCATTCGCGATAAAGACTCCAAGGACCAGGGAGAAGGGAGTCCCAGGTAAGAGGTGTGGGGAACATGGCAAGGGGCTGGTTTTCTGTTTTCCCTCATGGCTGGACAGCAGGCCTGAGATCATTCATGAATGACTTGGCCATGGGCTGCCAACAGCCCTCTTCTGAGTAGCAGCTGGCTGTTAACTCCTCTTTCCCTGTGCCCACCAGTGGCATCTGACTAAGCATTCGTGCGTAGACCAGAGGAGCTCTTACAAGAAAAGCACCAGATATGGGAGCTCCCAGCCAGGGAGCTAGCACACAGACTTTGAAATCCCTTCACTTGATTCATCTGGGCACAGGGTGTGTGCAGGGCAGCTGTCGAGTGGTCATAGTCGACTGGGCTTTCAGGCCCACTGTCCAGCTCCCCTTGAACTGGGGATGACAGTAGATGATGGTTGAGGCGCTCCGTAGCAGTGACGACACGTGTGAGGCTGGTGGGAGCAAAAAGCTGTTCACAAAGCCTAAGTGCTGTGCGGCAGTGTGCAGACACATCCATGTTTCTGCTCAACATAACAGTCACTGGCTCCAGGCTGGGGATGTAGCCCAGTGGTGCCACCACCTGCCTCGTAAGCACAAGGTCCCTAGTTCAATCCCCAGTACCGAAAAAAAACAAACAGAAAATACACACACTCATTAGCTCCAAGCGCCAGAAAAAGAAGGTTCTGCCCAGCAATCAGAGAATTGCTCAGCACATAATTAGGGCCCAATAAATATCGAATGCTGGCTTCTCCACTGTCTCCCAAAGCTCCCTGGGCCTTCTGTAGACACAGCAGCGAGCCCAGTGCAGAGTTAGTGAGTGCCATGCTTTCCAACTGGGCTGATTGGCGGAACCTCCCTGAGCTGGGACAGGGCTCTGAAACCTGTATGGGTCCTGAGGTTGTCCTGGCTTTCGGCTGTGGGGATAGCGCAGGATTGGAAGTTAGGAAGTCAGCTTTGTGCTCTCTGCTCAGCCCTCAGCACCCTCAGGGATCCTGAGGCAGGTGAGCTGGCTGGAACTGGCCGTGGAGAGCGCAGTCACGACAGAAGCAGGACCATTTGTGCAACAGAAATAAAGCCAACAAACTAAAAGCAAAGCAGAAAGCAAAAACACAAACACAAACCAAATAAACCAGCAGCGAGACAAGCAGTGGCAATGCCTCTCAGCACCCACACTCGCTGTGTTTACACCCAGAACAGTGTGCCTTGTGCACCTACTGAGGGCCGGTACTCCGAGACCCCTGTCACTGTCAGCTTTCTTCTCTTGCAGTATTCATCCTGAAGAACAACAGGGGGCCTGCATGGTTGCAGCCACATCATCGGGAAATAGTTCTGAGTCAGTTTCCACCCCCTTATCGAAGTCGCCTATTCCTCCATCTGACTGCACCAAGGGCTTCATACAGGTGTGGCTAGAGTCCTCAAACTCACAGGACGTCTTCCTGGAGCTGGACACTTGGTCTGCCAGTGACCAGAGCTCTGGTGACTAGGCCGCCTTGCAGCCGGTAAGCTATTGCCTTCTCCTTTGCCTCCAGCCTAGGTCAGGAGGGATTCATTCTCTTCCCCTTATGTACACCCTAGGAATGCGCTCTGTGTGTGAAATCCAGACTCTGGAGCTGAGTGCACAGAAGAGCAGTGACTCACATGACAGCGACACTCGCTGCTGAGTGCACCTGTTCTCCGCAGACCTCCAAAAAACTGGGCTGCCATAGTGGGGCTCTGCAGAATCTGACTTCTGAACCACTCTTGAAAATATGCTCCCTGATGGGCTGGGCATGGTGGCGCATGCCTGTCATCCCAGCACTCAGGAAGCTGAGGCAGGAGGATTGCCATAAATTTGAGGCCAGCCTTGTCTACAAGTGAGGTCAAGGCCATCCTGAGCTACATGACTAGATCCTGACTAAAAAAAAAAAAGTGCCCCTGAGTAGAGTGAACCAGGTAGGCAGAGATTTCAATGCTGGTCTTCTTGCACAAGCCCAGCCCCCTTCCTGCCTTTGTGGATCTTCAGTTCTGCTACAAAATCTAGAGCCTTGTATGGCTGTAATTCCTCAAATTGGAAACAAACAACCAAAAGCAGGCACCAAAGGCCCCTCTGTTGAGTGTGCTTGGTACATCTCTGGGGGCTTTGTATCAGGTGGGACAGATGTATGCTGGAAGCCTGCAGTGGCCGCTTTCCAGCATGGGAGCTGGGTCAGTGGCAATAATACCAGGTTTTGCTCCCAGGAATCTCCTCACAGGTGCTGTGCGGACCTCACACATTCCACCTGACCGAGAAACATCACTTCCAAAGGTGTTTTCACCCTGGCATTAGAATAGTGTAATCCCCCCACACACAACAGCAACAAGCACAACAAAACAAAGATACATAAACAGTGAACGAAAGGAAAACTCGAGCTTAGCCACTTTAACAGCTGAAGGTACGAATGTTTTCACATACCCATCCTCATAGCCCAGCCACCATGGCCACCAGAAAGTGGGTCCTTTAGAGTGACGAAGCACAGGAAGAGGCCAGAAGGGTCAGTGGTTCCATGGCCAAACCACACTTGGACAGGACCCTTCCCCATGCCTGGTTTTAAGACTGATCATCTTCCAAGGGGCTCTGGGGGTCAGAGTAGGAGCGAGCTAAGCAGGGAGAAGTTGAGAACGTGGGGTGCCAGGAGGTTGTCTTTCTGCCTGTCGTTCTGCACACTTCAGCCTGTGCTACTTCTTTAAAATGGGTCAAATAGCTGCGAATCAGGGTCATTGTGGAAGCGGCTGAGTCCAGAGCCCTGGGTTGCAGCTGTGGAGAGACTGGGTAGGGGAGGGTGGGCACAGACCGGGCAGGTTTGGGCTGCTGCTGGTGGGGAGAGACGGGACGGAGGAGCCTATCCTCCTGCTCCCCCTTCCCCCAGCACCTTGAGGTTGCCAGCTCCAGCCAGACACTTCACCTGGTCCTCTTTTCCCAGCAGGAAGAAGCACCTGACAACTCTGCAGGTGCCCAGGCCTCTTCTAACAACCATCCCAGGAGACACTTCATCCCTTTGGAGCAGTACAGCTTGAGTCTGCAGCGCCAGCAGAGCCCTCCTCCCAAGCCATGAGAGGAAGGGGGTGCCTGGGGGCCCTGGCTCTGCCCCTTGGTGTCCGGGCAGGGTAAACATTTCCCTTCCCCCAGAAGTTGTTTTTGCCCTTGTTTGTTAAACATAGCCTGTTTATGGGAAATGGTGCTGCGGAAGCTGCCTTTGATACCTAGTTTGCTAACTGCTTTCCCCTGCCTGCCACACCCAGCTTCCACTGGCAGGCTGGCTGCAGTGTTTCCAAGTTCGAATGCCATTTTTATGCCAACAAAAATTGCCAGAGTGGTTTCATTCTAGTAAGAAGTGTTCAGTGTTAGCCTTAGGGAAACTGAACAGGAATGGGTCTCCAACTGTGCAGACTTAGAATCCCAACAAAAATTGCTTGGGAGTTGATTATAGCTTCGTTGCTGAATAAACATTTTCGTTTGCTGCAACTCTGTCTGAATTTACTACGACTGACTTTGAGATCCCAGGAATGCTATTGACTGAGCCGGAGTCCCAGCTAGAGTCCCTCTGACATCTCCCAGAGGACCTGCTCCCCTCGGCGTCTTGGTCACACCTGTGCCATACTTGCAGAGGCCAGGGGCTGCGTCACTCAGGTGTGCTGGCCCCGTCCCGGCCCCTGAGGGCAGGAGACCCACATTTCACTCACCCCCTTTGCCTGTGAGTTCTGTCTCCTGTCTGTAGTGTTTTCATTCCTGGCCATCCTCCCTGGAAGAAGGATGATTTTTTCCTGCCTTTCAGACACCAAGTAGAGCACCATCCCGGCTGTCCACACTGTGCTGGGGATGTGGGGGCTTCCATAGCCTTGCTAGAATTTGCCTGTATCTCTCGAAAGGTCTTAGACCCCTTGCTGGAAGAAGGCAAAGGAGACCCTCAGTCTCACGTGGCAAGTAACATAAAGGGGATATGGTAGGCCTCACCCCGCAGGAGCAGGCTGACCTTCCTCATACAGTGTCATATTTGCCATGGTGGTCAGGACTGAACCTTTGTGTGGCCCCCCGTTCCTATAATGAAGATCTCCCAGTGTGATGTATGTGGGGAGCAGGCCTTTGGGAAACATTTGAGATGAGATGAGGTCACAAGGGTGGGGCCCTTATCATGGAATTAGTGCCCTTCTAAAAGATTAGACAGCAGAGAGATGGCTCCTGCCTCACAGGCCTCTTGGGTGCACACAGAGAGGTCACGTGAGCATGAGGGGCTCTGTTCACAGGTGTGCTCAGACCCTCATTTCACCAGTGACATCTTCAAATGTAAGGCCTTAATTTCTTTCCTTCTTTCTTTTTTTTGGGGGGGGGGCGTTATCAGGAGTCTAACTCGGGTCCTTGCCCTTGAGAGGCAGGGGTGGCACCACTGAGCTAAATCTTCAACCAGTGACATCTTCAAATGGATGCAGAGCATAACACCTGAACTCCTTTAGGACAAGTGATTTCTGTCCTGTGTCCTCTCACCAGCCTCGTATGCTAGTCTCCCAACTCAAGCAAACTCACCCATCTTTGCTCTGGAGTTTCTCAGGTGTGAGCCAGGGAAAAGTCCAAGGCCAGGCAGACCCCAGGAAGAGGTGGGAGGGGGAACCTGTACATGGAGCAGGCCTTGCTCCCAGGAGCCCCCAGGTCCCCCAGCCTTCAGCATGTGGCTCTTCCTGGTGGCAGCATCCTTCCTGGGTAGTTCCAGGATGGTAGCCGGCCTTCTGCCACATGTCCTGAGCACCTGGTTTGGGACACAAGGGTCTCCTGGCTTTGCCACGCACTTCCTTCATCATTCTGTGCTCAGCCCACATGAGCTTCCCCTTGTATGGGGCAGCGGAGGCGCAAAGGGACCAGACCATTGAGACTCATTGGTAGGGACAAGGCACCATCACAGTGGGTCTGGGAACGCCTCCTCTCTTGCGATTCCCACCCCCACACCCCTGCAGTGATGCCAGCAGGGCAGCCCCCAGCTGGGACAATTCACACTCTACCCCCAGGGTTGCCCCGCAGGACTCCATTGCACCCCACCCCCAGCATGAAGCTGCATGGGACACACCAGCCCGGGAAAGCACAGGAGCCGTGTTCTATGCAGCCCAGGGGGCCAAGCACTGGACAGGTGCCTCAGGTGCCGCACATGGCGGAGCTTGTGGATGCAGCCACCAAGACCAGTGCCAGTCTCTGTACCACACAGAACGAGCCATGCGGGCTGAACATTCAAGTGTTTGGCCTCAAACATTCATTAGCATTCTGATTTCCAAACCCAGTTTACCATAAGGGAGAGAGCCTTACTGAATCTGCTGGCTGTGTCTGGCCTGACTCCATTTGTACCTCAGCATGGCCCAGTGTGACATCGTGAGTGACTGTCCCAGTGCATCTCAGGGACAGTGAAAGGGAAGCTAGCCAGCCTTGGGACACCTGGGGCCCAGGTGCCAAACCACTGAGAAGGAAATGGTGGGGGTGGGGTGGGGCGGTGGGAGGAAGGGCCAGATGCCACTGGGCTCAGAGAATGACTGCGGTGTCCATCTTTCCAGCAGAATCTGTAAGCGAGACCCCGTGAAAGGTTCTGCATTCCTTGTCAAATGCAAGTTCACCCATCCAGCCTGGCTGCCCTCCACTCTCCTGGACCATTAAGTCCCTTACAAGTGCTGGGCCTTTCTGCCCTCAGGGACTGTCCCCTGTCCCCAACCCCAGAATGCGCTCCTTCATGTCTCGGCATCTCCAGCCTCTGCTCCCCATGCGGGACAGCTGGGTCAGCCCCCTGCTCTGCTCATGGTTTTCTTGTTGGCAGCTCAGCCCCACCACCCAGGCACTGGCAGAAGGGAGCTCTCCTTCCTTTCCATAATGTTCCAGTGTGCATTTTCACAGCCTTGGCCCCCAGCAGTCACCAGGAGTGTATTTCATGAGAAGCACCAGCTGCTCAAGCAGGTGAGATCAACTGGGGAACCAGGTCCCGGGCATGGACAACTGCCAGCAACTGGGAGATGCCAGGCAGTCCCCGGGACCCAAAGGGTCACCACCATCACTACCAGCAACAGCAAAGCTCCAAGGTTCCAGGAAGGGCTTCCTCCTGTGTTTGCTGGGATAACCCTTCTTCACCTTGTGAACATCAGGCAGTAACCCGGCAATGCTTCCTAGGACGCTGCCTCCACCTTGTTGCTCTGAGGGACTGGCTGGTGCAGCCTGCAGTCAGAAGTGCCAGGTGAGGGAGCTTGGTAGATGAAACGGCAGGGTTTGCTCTGTGAGATGCACAGTGCAGCCCACAAGTCAGAAGCAGTCGGACCCTGCCATCCCCTTTGTGGCCACCACAGCCCTGGACTCCTTCATGGAGATGGTGATGGGAGAAGAGGGCCAATTGACAGTGACAGTTAAATACCAAGAGGCCTGAAACTTCTGGAGCCCTGGATGCTTCCTGCCCAGATGGAGGCCTTGACCCCAAGAGTCAAAGGGTAATTAACTACACAGTCACCCTTGTTGATGAAACAAAACCCACAACCCTGCAGAATCAAAACATGTCAAATGCGGAGTCAAAGGTCGGCTGACAGGACAGATAGATTGCAGTATTCAGAGCAGCTTGTTCAAGCGTCTGTGTGATCTAAGTTTCAGCCTGTGGAGTGGGTAGGTGGGAGAGGGGCTGTGAATTTAATTTCCCAGGCTGGGGAGTGGCTTCGGCAGGGAATGAGGTGATTTACAAGCATCTGTTCTGCAGGAAGGCTGGCCTGTGGCTTCCTTCACAGAGGGCTGCCTGTGGGAGGCAGAAGACCCAGGCAGGGGATGGGACAGCCACGTTTCGTGCTACTCTTCTATTCTGTTTCCCCCACCTGCCAGCAGGCAGTGTCCACCACTGCCTTTACGGATGTGGCCAGATGTTCAATTGGAGGCTGCTTCCTGCCACCTCCTACTAATGGCTTTACCTCACCACATCTCCCCTCTCCCTGGCTTGTGGAGCAAGGATGAGGCACATGCTTGGGGCTGGGGTTAGAATCTGGAGCGCTCCTGGATTAGAAAGCAATGAATGGATGAGAAAACAATACCAGTCTGTCTTCATGCCATTCTGAGCCCCATCACCTCCTCTCAAGCTCCAGTGAAAACACAGGGTTGCCTGATCCCCGCAAGGGGGAGTGTATTGCGCAGACCAGCCCCTCTTGGTTTTCATCACCTGCCCGTCTTCTCCTGGCTCAGTTGGATCTTCTCTCCTGGTCCTTTCTCAGGATACTGATCACCTCCTTTAACTGATGTAAAGACAGCCACTTCATCGTCTCAAGTCACTCAAGCTAATTTTCAGATATTGTTCTCTCATCTGTCACCTGGGACCTAAGTGTCTGTCTTCTCTGCTGACACACTGGAGGGAGCAGAGGAAGTGTGGATGGATGGAGAATGCACGCTGGAGCAGAGGCCTGTCTAGTCTACACTGTCTTCTGCTCCAGGTAGGACTCAGGCCAGGCACATAGAAGGCATCAGAGAAGATCTGTTGATGAATGGGCACCCTTCACTGGAGCCTTTCCAGATCCCTCATTTGGTACAAACACCTTTATTAGGGCTCTGGGCCAGCCTGTGAGCCTACATATCATAGTACCAGTCTCAGGGAAGAGGCTTTGTGGGACCAGTGTGTGGGTTGAGTTTCTTGGCACCAGTTTCCCATACTTTATGGTGTCCAGGAGTACCTGAAGTCTGTTTCCTCTGGCGGCTCAGGGATGCAGTAACTAGCACCCAAACAAGGAGCAGGATGAGTGTCAATGAAAGAGGTCCCTTTATCTGTCTTGAGGTTCATGGCTCCTTCCGTCCTTGCCCCACACATCCCACCAGCGGCCAGTTGGTGGAACCTACAGAAGCTCCAGCTCAGCAGGCAGCATCCTGCACCTTGACCTGCTAGGAATGCTCAGAGCAGTCAAGAGGGCCCCTGGAGTTTGGGAGCCCAGTCCCAGTCTAGGTGGGGGCGTGGCCAGACCCATTTCTTGTAGTCTTTTGCCCCCTTGTGAGTGATTACAGTATTGCATCTCCCCAGTGGTCCCCAGTAACTGCTGAACACTTCTTGAGAGCTTACACTGGGTCAAGCCCTATGCCAGATGGAGTACTAGTCTCAAGCTTTCAGTCCAACTCATAGTCAACTTCCTGATAAATTTCCCTTTTCTACCCGCCTCTGCCCTCGGGTCCATGGTCCATCACAGAATCACTCCTCCTCATTGCCTAGGTGACCACTGAATGACAAACTCTAGATGAAGCCAACTATCTGTACTCTGGGTCTGTGCTTATGCATCTCCCTGCTGCTAAAGGAGGTCACACAATCTGGGCAATTCATGATCTTCAACCTCACCTCAGCACTCCTTCCTGCTCAGCACTTTGGGTCTTTCCATTTACAATCTGAGACCACTGAGTGACTCTCTCCCTGGGCTCCCATGTCTTCCCCATTTGCTCCTGCTTCATTGGCCCATCCTCAATTTAGTAATCAGAAGCTATGC